AGCATGTAGTCTCCTTGCTCTCTCACCTATTTTCCTTCATGAGAGGGACCCACCTCCAACTCTCTTTGGAAGTGCCCTAATCTTTCTCTTTGTTCTTCCTAAATTAAATGTGTCTTTGTTACACTGAGATTTGTGCAGATTACTCTTGCCTTCTTTTCACAATGCCTGTCCTGCTCTGGTTTTATTTCTGGTTTCCATTCATTTTTTGCTTTCAATTACCATTATGCCTGGGTTGAACTTTCTAGCTCAGCCTAATAATTGAACCAGATCAACTGTGTTGGGGGAACCAGGACCCCTACCTCCAACAGGTAACACTGTGCAGGGGTAGATAAGAGAGGATACAAGAGGATCTTAAATATTCTTTGTTCATACAGTGAATATTTACTTTGTGATTAGGTAACTTGTCAGATCTCCTATCAATCAGGGAATGAATCCTACTTATTTATTTATTGATATTCTATTTTATCATTGTCTTTATTTTTTACAACATGTTCACTAAATGAGGCATTCTCTCTCCTATTATAGATTTCTAATAGACATAGTATAAACTAGCAGCAGTACCATCAGAAAAGAGACTGCAGATAGAAAGACATACTGTAATATTCTGACATAGAAAATAAAATTAAATTAAAAAAAGAAAAACATGCTGTAATTTGCAAACAGATAATATCTCACTTATGTGACATGGTTTATCTTCACCAGGTCCAAAACCCAAAAAGTTAAAGGTGATTCAAATAAAAATCTTAAGAATGTCTTTTTATCTCTCAGAGAAAACAGAAAAAGTGTATTCTGTTAAGATAATCAGAGAGAAGAAAAGACATTGGCTTCACATCTGAAATCACAGCACAGCTCTGTATAAATGTCATGCTTGGCTTCTATAAGTCCTCAAATCTGGCTGAACTGTGTCCAAGAGAGCAACAGTATCCAGCCAAAGTGTATGTTGGGAAGACTAGCCCAGCAGGCTAATCTTGAAGGTAGCTGTGGGGCCCTAGTGCTGAATTTGACTTTCGCTGATTTCCTAAAGCTTCCATTCTGGCAGATTAACTCAATGATAAACCTTAACTAACCCTAACTCTAACCTAGGTACATGCCTGGGGGGGTTGGAGTGGAGTTCCGACCAGAAGTGTCTGCATAGAGCTCTCTCATTCCAGTCCAAATCCTGGGATGGGAGGGAAGAAAGAGTTTGCCCAGTTCTGTCTTCTAGAAATACCTGGTTGCCCTGGCTTACGTAAAATCATCTGTTCTGCTTCCTGGTGACTCCTGTGTAGTCTCCTTTGTCCCTCCCTCCTTCAACTAAGAGGGAGGCCTTTTGCTTCCATCACTATTAACTCCCTGTCAGAAATTTCATCCACTCTGCAGCTTCAATTTGTGTAAAACACAGAATTTATATAGTATGTTAGTCAGGATATATAACAAATCTCTTCTAATCACCCCATGTATGACTTTCCTAAGGCCAGTGCAACACATAGTTACAAACTATATGTCCTAAAAAAAAAAAAAAAGAAATGTATTCACTCCTCCTTTCTATGGTTTCTCTTATAAATATGTATATATGTGAAGAAATTTATAATAAGGATTTGGCTCACGTCATTATGGAGCCTGAGAAATCCCACTATCTGCTGAGTGTAAGTTGAGGTATGGCTTGAAGTTCTGAGAACTGCAGAGACTTCAGTCTGGGTCTAAAGACCTGAGCACCTGAGCTAAGAGCAGAAGATCCATGTCTTTGCTCAAACTGGCAGAGTGAATTTTCTCTTCCTTTGCCTTTTTTGTTCTACTCAAGCCCTCAATGGACTAGATGATGCCCACCTGCCCTGGGAAGGGCCATCTGCTTTACTAAGTCCACCAAGTCAAATGGTGATCACCTCTAGAAGCACCTTCACAGACACTGCCGGAGATAATGTTATCTGGGCATCTCATGACCCAGCCATATTGACACATAAAACTAACCACCACACATCCTATCTCCATTCTAGAGTTCCTCTTGAACTCTAGACACACAGATTTAACTGTCACTTGAGCTCTTGGATACCTTTAAAACCCCTCAAACTCATAAAACTGAACTTCCCATTTCCTGCCAAGCCTTGTACCACCCCTACCTCAGTAAGTGATACCAGCATCCATCCAGTTCCACAGCCAGGAACTTAGAGCCTACCCTGACACCTCTGTCTTCCTCACCTTGTTCCAAGTCCTTCATAATTTTTAAATTTATCTAGTTCCATCTGTCTATTATTATTATGCCAGTCCAGAGACTTAGATGAGTGTAAAAGTGATAAAAGTTAATAATTATTGAAGGTTTATTATATATCAGGCAGACACTCTTTTAAAACTTTACATAAATTAGCTCTTCTAGTAACCCTATGCATTAGTACACTGGGGCTGACATACAATTTAACACAAACTAAATGACTAAAAATAACAGAAACTTATTCTTTCTTAGCTTTGAAGGCTAGAAGTTTGAAATCAAGGTGTGGGCAGGGTTGTGATCCCTCTCAAGGCTCTAGAAGATGATCTTTCCTTGCTTCTTCCATTTCTGACTTGTACTCCTTGACTTGCAGCCATGTCAACTGCAATCACTGCCCTTGTCTTCCCATGATCTTTTCCTCCTGTATGTGGTTTCTTGTCTTCAGTTTCAAATCTCCTTCAGACTCTTTATTTTTAGAAGGGTGCCTGTCTTTGGATTTAAAGTCCAAGCAGATAATCCAGATGATCATTGTATTGCAAGATTCTCAATTATATCTCAGGTTTCAGGAATTAGGAAGTGGACCTTGTTGGGCATCATTTAACCGACTAGACTCGATAAAGTAAATATAGTTACTATCCTCACTGGACAGAGAAGGCAACTGAGACTCAGATAGTTTACAGAACTTGCCCAAAGTCACACAGCTAAAGAGTTGTGGATATGAGACTCATATTTGCTCCCAGAAAACCAATTTCAATGTTTTTCTGAAAGGAGTAACAGATCAAGAAATACATCACTTGGATGTCAAATATTGCTTCTTCAATCTGTTCATTGCTAGACCATTAGAATATAGGACATGTCAGCATTTCCACCTCCAGGAATCTGTTCTATGGGTAAATTTCTCACATTTGACAAAGCTATTTTACTGCTATATTCTTTGCATTAAAAAATTACTGGAAACATCCTTAATGCCCACTGATAGATGGTTAAACCCACCATGTCATGGCCATATAAAGGAATATCCTGAAGCCTTTTTATAATAAAGCATGTCTACAGTTAATAATGATGTGTTATATACTTGAGATTTACTAAGAGAGTAGATTTTAAGTGTTCCTGCATACACAGAAAGGGCAAATATGTGAGGTGATAGATAATAGGTCAATTAGCTTGACTAGATGAATTATTTCCTAATGTGTATATATATCAAACATCATGTTGTATGTCTTAAATAAATACATGTTTTAGCCATCAATCATACCTCAATAAACCTGGAAAAAAAGAAAATGAGCCATGTCTATATGCATCAGTATGGGAGAAGTTAACTCAAGGTACAGAGTAGTGTGTACAGAATGCTGCCACTTTATAAATAACCAAAAGGACACATACAATATGCACTTATATACTATGAATATATAGAATATTTTGGAAAGACAAGCCAGAAATGAAAATTGTATTTGTCTTTGAGAAAAGAACTGTGAGAATGAGTACAGGAATGGAAAGGAGATTTATTTTTTGTTGCAAACTCTATAGTATTGTTGAATTTATTTGGACATGTGCTTGCAAAGAAAGAGAGAGAGAATCTCTGAGTTATTTTTCACCTAATTTTCCAACTTGACCTCCTACTAATTTCATTTCTTACCTGAAAATACATCGTTTCCCAAACCCACTGGGTATGTCCATGTAGAGCATCTGCTTGTGTTCACATGTCTAACATTCTATCTCCCTGGACTCTCATGCTTTCTATCTGTAGGAATCCTGCCTCTCCCAAAAGCTCTCCTGTGTAATCTCCTGATTTTTAGTGTTGGAACCAACTGCACTTCCGGCAGTATGCTCCCCCCACTTCGTTCTGAATGATAGCTAAGTTGACAAGTTGGTCACTGTCATTAAATTAGTCCCTCAGTAAATCAGAGAAGCATGCATCTTGATCTCTACGTTCCCCAAAGTACCCAGAGTAGAGTTTTGCCAAATGCCTATAAAATATATTAAGCAGAAAGTCATATAGGAAAACCTAAGTTTTCTATGATGACCAGTTGGAAGAGTGCTAGAGAGAAATATCTAGCCCAAATTCAGGAATCCTACCTAGCATTAATATCTAAAGGGATAAATAAGATCCTTGAAGCTAAAAATTGAGCCAATGCTGTTTATCAAATTAGATTACTAAAAGAGAAGTAAATGAAATGAAATACAAAGCTACACTTTAAATACATTAGAGGCAAAAGAAGAAGAAAATAAAAATAACTTCAGTTATAATTCAGAAGGGATAGCTATTGATATTTTTATTTCTTTTTTTTTTTTATTGTTATTATTTTTTTGCCAGACAAAGCCTGGTCACAAAGTAGGCAAATACTTGATCATGAAGTAGGCTTCTCAGATAGGGAAACCACAGCCTACCCCCACCTCCAACTTCATACATACTAAAGATTTATATATGTTAACATAGGTTATTCTACTACTTAATAACCACATTATATTATCAAATTGCAGTAATTTCTTACTCTTTTTGTTGTCATAACCTATTTCCTCTTAAAGACAAGAGGTGAACATGGGAATATAGAGAGTCATATTACCTCATGTATTTAATTTTCATATATTCTAAAGCACTTCATAGTGATTGGCTCCATACTACTGTGCCTTCTATAGACAATAAAGCCATGCTTTTGTGTGCCTGTAACATATGGCTATTCTGCTGTAGTCTCTGTAACTTGGCATATTGACGTCAGGCCTGACCCTTTTTGGTTGACTTTATAATAATATATAACAAAATAAGATAAATATAATAAAAATTACAAGTGGAAATGATTGAAATTATACTTTAACTTACTGTCAGGGCTGTCTCATATTCTCCAGCAGACATGTATGCTAAGCCCAGGTAGTAACAAGCTTCTCCTTCCATCTTTCTGTCATTTCCTAAAGTGAAGATGTAGAAATATTACCATGGGATTAAAGAAACCAATTTATTACAACAAGCAGAATCCTTATTTTTCAAGATATTAGAATATTATTATTTAAAAAATGAACAGATTTATCAATGATCTCCAAAACCTAGTTGTGTACTAAAAAATAAAAAAAGACTTAGGTACGTACAATTATCCTGGATCACAGATGTCAGCACAAGGTACATTGTCAATATAGCAATGAGGGGTTTCCCTCTACGTACTCAGCTCAGTATTATAATTTTGGCATTCAGGTGTACTTTTTATGCTGGTCCACCATGTAAAGACCTGTAGCTGTCCAGCATAGCTATTACTACTTCGGTGAAACAACTGACAAAGGGTAACAGCCTTAAATGGATGTGCAAATACTTATATTCAACAATGTGAACTCATGTTCAGCTAAGTTCCTAACAATGTGGATAATTTACAAAGTAAGCAATTATTATTTTTGAAAGAAATCATAGATGACACACATAGATGGAAAAATACCCTACACTCATGGATTGGAAGAATCAATATTGTTATAATGATCACACTGCTGAAAGCAATTTATAGATTCAATGCAATTCCTATCAAAATACCAATGCCATTTTTCACAGAAATAGACAATAATCCTAAAATATTTATTGAGTCAAAAAAGAGAACAAATGGTCAAAACAATATTAAGCAAGAATAACAAAGGTGAAGGTAGCATATTATTTGACAACAAATTACACTACAAGGATAGAGTAAAACAGTTTAATACTGGTATAAAAATAGACATACAGACCAGTGTCACAGAATAGAGAACCCCCAAATAAAGCCATAGACCTAAAAACAACTGATATGTGACAAAGCAGACAAAAACACATACTGGGGAAATCATATCCTATTCAATAAATGGTGCTAGGAAAGTTAGGTAGTCATATGCAGAAGAATGAAACTGGACCCCTATCTCTCACCATATTCAAAAATTAACTTAAGATGAATTAAAAACTTAAATGTAAGACCGACACCTCAAAAACTGTAGAATAAAACCTGGGCAACACATTGGGATCTTGACCTAGGCCAAGAATTTATTTCTAAGACCCCACAAAGAAATGGAATAAAACTACAAAGCTTCTGCTCAGCAAAAGAAATAATCAGTAGAGTAAATAGACAACCTAAATAGAATGAGAGAAAATAGTCACAAACTGTGCATCTGACAAAGGACTAATAATTTAGATTCTACAAGGAACTAAAATAACTCAACAAGGGAAAAAAAAGACAAATAACCCATTAAAAGGTGGGCAAACACAAAATGAACAAACACTTTCCAAAAGAAGACACATAATGACCAACAAGCATATGAAAAACTGCTCAATATTACTAATCATCACAGAAATGAACAGTAAACTATTATGAGATATCAAATACTGTCTCGTCTCGCTTATAAGTGGGAGCTAAACAGTGGATACCCATGTTCATACAGAGTGGAATAATAGACATTGGAAACTTCAAAAGGTGGGAGGGAGGGAGGTGATAAGGGATGAAAAGTTGCTTATTGGGCACAATGTGCAATATTCACGTAATGGGTACACTAAAAGCCCAGACCTTCACCACTACAAAATAAATCCATGTAACAAAACTGAACTTTTCCTCCCAACTCTATAAAAATAAAATTAGTAAAGCCAAAATAACATTCTCAAAAAAGGAAGTTATCATTTTGTTAAAGCTTATTTGGGTGAGAATGAAGGACAGAGATTGGTTTCTTCCTGAAAAATCCCATGCATACAGTAGAACCTCCATAGTCGACCACCTCCCTACATTAACCACCTCCTTAAGTTGACCTAATTTTCTAGTTCCGTATGTTGCCCACCTCTGAATGTTGACCAGTTTGTTACAGTTCCATGAGTGGTCAACTTACAGAGGTTATACTATTTCAAAACCCAGTTTTCTTGGCTAATCACTATTGATGCTTTTTATCATCTTTTTGCATGAAAAGTCTTTCTAATTTCTAGTTTACTATTTTTATTCCAGGAATTACCCCATTTTTCCAAAAGCAAAATACATAAAGATATGTTGTTCAACAAGAAACACGAATGCTTCTTTACATTTATGTAGGGTATTTACATTTAATATGTTAAATGTAACATATTTATTTAATACATTTACAAGAACCATTAAATTTTTTTATTTTAAAAAAGATTACTATCCTTTTTTCTACTACTGGAAGATACTGGCTTCCAATGTCACTAGTTCCTGGATAACACAAATTTGCCTTTGTTTTTAGTCTTTGGAAAGTAAGTATCTTTAGATTCCTGAACCCTGCCTTACAGTCATGAAGAATTTCAGCAGGAACAATTTTCTATCCTGCATTCGCTCTCACCACTCTGTAAATTACCACTCTAAAACAGTCATTCTTTGAAAACATCTAGAAAACAAGACAGCAAATGCCAGTGACAGTATTTTTTTCTTCTCTAGTTCTTTCATGATTGAAGAGAATTACATCCTCAAGATTTCACTTTAGAGAGTTGATGATGCCAGTCGTCCAGGCTGGGGAGTTTTAACTCTTATAATTCACCTGGGCACCAACTTTTTCTCTGCAATAGCTTCCTGGGTGCTAGGGACAGGGGTGGAAACAGGGAAGGGAAAGAAGGAACAGAAGGAAGAGGCTGTGATGGGAAGTCACTTCTTGAGTAGTTGAAAGTTGACCGTGTGTGGTTTCTACTTGCTGTGTAATTGCGTTAAAGGCATCAGCCACTGCCTGGACTGGTACGGCACTACCATTTACTTCTAACTGTACGTGAGGGGAAGTTCAACAATCAAGAAGGAAGAAAGAAAAATCTACCTCTGCTAACAGAGAGATTTTTGAGGCAGCCAAATATTAGTTTTAAAATAGGCTTTAAACTTCAGAACTTTTCTGATTACTAATAGAGTCAACATTTACTAAAAGTAGTAAAATAACAGAGAAAAATATCAGTGGGAACAGGATTAACAACAACAATGACAAAATTATATCTGAAACCTTGGCACTGTTAAAACTGAGTGACAATACACCAAAACTTATATTTTAGTAAACAGAGACAGACCGAAAAAAGACAAAAAAATTAACAAAAAACACAATATGTTTGTATGGTGATAAGTATTCTGGGGGGAAATTTCTTTGCAAAATACCTCACAACTTAGCAAATCAGAAAGTAATATAAAATACTTTTTCCTAATTGATAAATCCTTTTTTACACTGAAATTCCATCTAAATTTCCATCTGACTAAAGTTTGCTGCTGAAATTGACCTGAGAAGAACTATTTGTGTCAGTGTTTACCCCTTTGGGGGTAGGCACCAGGCTGCCATGTATTCCAAAGCAGTTCATTTAATGAGATACATCTTTTAATGTGGGTGATTTTCTATGAGTATTTCAACTAGTATTATTTTTAAAAAGTAACAGTGAGAATAACCTAACATGTTTACTTTTACTCTTTAGTAAATTAAAATCACACCCAGGAAATCAGTTCTGCTTACTCCAAATAAATCATCTATTATTTAATAAACCATCAATTAAATATACCCATGAGCTAATAAATTTTAGTTCAAGAGCATAACTTCTATCTTTTTCTCCTTCATGAAAAGGCTCCTCTATTAATAAATTACTATATGGTAATAAAATATCCTTGCATTTCATAAGTTAAAAGCTTATAAGGATAAGCTCCAAGTTTTTTCTTTATATTTTACACACACACACAAATGATATGGAATATTAAAGATCCCATCAGCTCTCAAAGAAGCATTTTCACTGCTTTAAATGTGCAGATGAATCCAGGGGTTGGAGCTTACTTACTATCCGGCAGGTTCTGATCCAGTGGTCTGGGGCGGGCCTGACATCTTGCTTTTGTCACAAGCTTTTCTGTTGATGCTGATGTGCTGGTCCAAAGGCCACATTTTGAGAAGCAAGGGTCTAAAATACATTAGTCTCCTTTTCCTGTTTCTCATAACTAAATATTTATAATACTTTCTCTATGACCTGACAATAGGGAATTTACAAACAATGAAACATCTCTCAGATTGCAAGAAATATACAACCTTATGCAGACACACATGCCCCTTCAACTTGGGCAGATGGCCTTTTCTTCCGACCGTGGATTTCTTGTTTTACAACACTACCCCCGGTGGATTGTAATTCTGGAGATAAAGCTTTCCAGAAACTAATGGATTTCTTGTTGTCAGCACTAAGGCATCTCCGTTTTACAGTGAAATTTGAAAGTATATTGATGGCATTTGTCTTTGCATTTCATAGGAAATAATCACCCTAACACTTGACGATTTTTACTTCACTCTGGGGAGAGCCAGTGTCTGCCCATTAAAGAAAGCAATGTGAGAGTATTCTTTTCCACCCACCTTCTTTGGCTATTTCAGAAGCTTTTATTAGAATTTTGATGGCCTGTTTGTATTCTTTATTTTCCAGCATTTTGTCTGAGAGTAATCTGTAAGTCCTCAGGAGACTCTCACAGGCCAACAAGTTGAGAAAGCAGCCTGTCTCATCCGTCCATAACCGCCCCTGCGTCAATTGATGGAATGCTTCATAATGCTCTGCAGCTTCCAGAAGCTGACCTGAAGAATAAAAGCCATTCATAAATATAAACCAGAGGCCAGAACATATTTTCAAATGTTTTGCGTACATCTTAGCTTTACTATTAAAGGGGAAAACGCCACGGAGTACAGTGAAGGATTTCTGAGGCTGAAGAGGAATTAGACTGGGAAAGGAGCTATCTCTAATTGGACCTCAGTTTCAGCATTAATTTTGGACAGACACCTGCAAGACAGATGGTCTTCGGCTAGAAGATATTGGCAGGGGTTGTGTATGTTTAGAGAGAGTGTGAAAGTCCAGTAATTATTAATAGTAGCCATCATATTAACTAACATTTATTTAAGACTATTATGCAAGGCACTGTGCTATGTGCTTTACAGGCACTGTTCATTTAATCCCCCAAACAATCTATGGAGTGGACTGTTATGATTCCATTTTACAGAACAGAGAGCTGAAGCTTAGTAATGCTGAGAATTTTGCCTACGATTATGTGTCTAGTGGGTGGGAGATTCAGGAAATCTGACTCTAGAGCCGACATTGTCAACCACAGCCATGTACAATGTGAGTTATTTTAAAAGTAATGTCCAATCCTTTTTTTCACTTTGATACAAATACTCAAGGTTGAAGTTCACTGCTCTAATCTATCTATACTTATAACTACGATTCTTTCTTACTTCCCACAAAAGCAGGCATAGTTTTTCATCTCTCTCCTCCAGCACCTCTTGCCAGAAACACCTTGCTCCAAATACCCATGACCCTCATTTTTTCAAATGAGAATGGAGCATTGACATATATGTGTGTGTTATGTTTCCTCTGTTAACTATATTTCTCTGCCTGTGAGGTATAGCTCAGTATCCCTGGAAAGATGTATACAAGAGTTCTTTTTATTTTTTCATTCAGTATCCATCTATTCATAAAGTGTACATAGATATTTCTTTCTGACCATGTGAAGAGGAAATGGGGGATGTAGGAAACCGAGTAAACCAAATCGTTCCAGAAAAGACAGAAACTATAAAGGAGAAGCAGCTTTGGATAACCCATTACATTAGAACTGGATGCAAATGAGGGGTAATGATGTAAATAGTGAATGAGAACTGATATCCATGTCCAACATTCGCTCTATATGGGAGCAGACAGGGAGAGGAAGGGAGGGAAGGGGAGGACTGAAGTCAGGGAAGGTGGAGGAAATGGGAGGGAATTGAAGTAGGGGTGAGTGGAGAAGAGGTGAGGCTGTGCCCTGGTATTCCACACAAGCCAGACTTTCTACCCTCTGTCACTGAGTCCCGTGCTGCTGTTAAATATCCAGGAAAGTCTGTTAAAGGAGGAACGAAGTAAGGGTGGTTCTTGGGATACTGGTCTCAGTTGGTTACTATGGAATGTAACCTTGGGATAATTAGAAATAAATACAATCGTCTTTTCAGCTGAATTTGATTTTTGTTAGAGCTTTGGGGGCAAGTATCATTGTGTTACTTAGTGCATGATTGTGGCCAAGGCTCAGCTCTCAGCAGGGTCCCCGTGAGGTGTCCCATGAGGAAGGAGCCTGAGATGCCAGATAAAAGAGAACAGGGAGCCACTTGTTCCTGAAGGCCTGCTAGGTGCTGGTCAACATGTAAGGTTCTTCCCCCTGTGCATTAAATTCTTATCTAACCTTCCACAAACTGGTGAAGTAAATACAATTATTGTTTTTTCACAAAAGAGGAAACTGAGGCTCACAAAGTTTAAATAACTCAAATATATAATCCAGACTTTCGATAACTGATGATTAGGATTTAAAGCCCAAATCACCAAAACCCCATACAACTGGTTCTACCACATCAGACACTAACCCACAAACCAGGAGTCAGGAAACAGGTGGAGTAAGTTCAGTTCTCTGGATAGAAATTTCTTGTGTTAAAAAAATGCTCAAGTCACATTATTTCTCATCCCTTCCAGTTCTATAATTCTCGGACTCTTCTCAGGCCACCACAGGTAACCTCTATCAAAAGTACAGATATCAGTCCCTGACGTACTTCAGATTGGCCTTTCAGAAGGAGTCAATGTATTACCAGTACATCTATTTAAATTCCCTATTTTCCCCTGAACCATGTTGTGACATCATGGGGACCCCTGGAATTCCATAGGTGCCCCAGACTTTGTCACCTGTGGCCTCATCCTGTTGTTCATGGTTTCATCTTCCCTCCTTTGCCACAGACGAGGTCATGGGGGTCCTGATGACACTCTTTAAATGAAGGTGTCTACACAGTGGCAGGGTTTCCCGGGGCTTTTATTTCTAAAAGTAGTTGGTAGCAGTAAATAAGCCAGCAAGAAAATCAGCCATGGAGAATTTATCCAAATGCCAATATGCACAAATGTGTGTATGTGTGTGTGTATATATATATATGTATATATACATATATATATATATTTTTTAATATATATATGACTTGACTATAACTTCTAAAGGCTGGTCAGAATTTGAAAGCACATATTGTGATATAGCATAGTATTTGAGTCTAAAAAATTAAAAGATATATCTATGCTATGAAGAGAGCATAGTAATTTAAATATGCAAGTATTTCCCTTTAAGCATGATTAACAATGATATGAGTTCCATCCAGTTTCTATTTCCAACTGTGGAAAGGATTTTAAAAATTATCTAACTTTCTCAGGAAAGGCTCTGCTATTAAGACTAAACACAATAATTTACAGTGCTTTTATCTGAATATTTTAAATTCCATGTACCTGAGAGAAATATTGTATCAATATAGTGATCATTTTGACAATGCTAATTATAAATACCAATGTAGATAATGAATCAGATTTTCTAATTTGTTTCCTTTTATAAATTTTTCCGGGTGTTCATAGATAGTTTACCCTTGGCCTTAAATAAACTGTATCTATTTCAGAACCAGGTGAAATTTCTAGATTCCACTATCAATCTTTTAGAAGGATAAGGACAAGTGGTTAGTCCAAGAACTATTTCCCTCTGGAATTATCAAGTGTTAACACGATTTCTCATTGAGGAACAGGGACAGAGAAAAGAGGAATGATTACTCCAAAGTATCACAAAAATAAATGCTAACAGAAAATAGGACAGAAAAGAGAAGGCCTGGGGAATACTCATGGGTGGTAAAGTTGTCCTGAGGGAAAGTGACTTTTATCATGTTGCACCAGGAATCACCAGAAAGCTCTGTCATCACAATGAGTAAGTAAGGTCACAGAATAAATGCAATAAGACAGACACCCTAACTACTGCTAAATTAAATGCCTGGCATGCATGGTGGTGGGGAACCTGCGGCTTCTTAATTTCAAGTTTTTTTTCACGCACAAAAAGAAGAAAACCATCTTTCTCTTCTGCACCCCTTTAAAAGAAAGGATTTGTTCTGTAAAATTTGGATTCAGTCAAGAGGCTACACTTAAGGACTTAGAAGGCCGCACGAGGCCTTTGGAACACAGGTTTCCCACCCCATTTCAGAATACTGTTAATTTCTGTGTAAAATAAGAGTATCCAGGTATATATAGAAGTAGTTTTTTAGCTCTTTGAGGAGTCTTCATACTTCTATTCAAAAAGGCTGAGTTGATTTGAAGTCCCACCAACAGTGTCTGTCCCTTTTCACTGCACCCACATAGCATCTGCTACTTTGGGAATTTTTTATGTGGGCTGTTTTTATTGGGGTTTGGTGATACTCATTCTCCTTAGTTAAGTAATTCAAGAATAATAAAAAAAAATCATATGTACTCAATACTCATTTGAAACTAGTAAATGAACAACTACAGGCCAACACAAAAGGAAAAACACAATTACATTTAAGAGGGAACCAGGCAGTGGCTCACGGCTGCAATCCTAGCACTCTGGGAGGCCAAGGCAGGTGGATTGCCTGAGGTCACAGGTTTGAGACCAGCCTGAGCCAGAGCAAGACCTCATCTCTAAAAAAATAGCTGCGAGTTGTGGCAGGTGCCTGTAGTCTCAGCTACTCAGGAGGCTAAGACAAGAGAATTGCTTGAGCCCAAGAGTTTGAGGTTGCTGTGATCTGTGACGACATAGAACTCTACTGAGAGCGACAAAGTGAAACCCTGTCTCCAAGAAAAAAAAAAAAGAGAAGGGTGGATGGTGGAGGGAAGGGCTCAGTAGGCTCCTATCTGAAGGATACAACATAGGGTATATGGCCCACTTCTGTGGTGGAGGCCCAAATATGACTTAGACTTGCTAACGAACATAAACAACGTAACCTAATCATGTGTATCCTGATATTAATCCAAAAATGAAAGAAAAAAGTAGTCTTGGTCTCACTTTTGCTTTGTTCTATTTTTCAACTATTACATTGCATCTACATAAACAATAAGGAGTTTGCCATGCATTTAGAGTTTTTCACCTAAAAGAAAGAGCACTCTTAAAATAAAACTACTACAAGGGAGTTTTACTTTCTCTAAAGCCCACACACACAAAAAGAAATATATCCAATTTATTTAAAAATACAAACAAAACCCAAACACTGTTGTAAACAGCAAAATGCTTGGTTGGATGTTAAGACAAACACTATGTGGAGAAAATAAGATTTTATATACTTGGGTATTATCCAAATTGTTGCTTACCCCTCTTCCCTGCACAACATCTCTGAAAGTTTATAGATATTTGTTGTATCACAGCAGATGTCTAGAACAAATATTAAGCAAAGGAGAATGTATATGATCTCTCCCATTTTAGTTTTTTTTTAAAGTAGGAAGATTGACTAAATATTAACACAAATGGGTTTAAATGTGAAGCTGCCATAAAAGCAGGAACATAAATGTAATTCTCCCAGCCGCTATTTTGATGCACATTTTTGATTCCATGAATATTTTATGAAATGGCCCAAACTAAAGCCATATAACATTCCTGCATTACTGATGCTTGCGCCCGTAAGCTACGAACATTAGAGGCATGATTGAGTGCATTAAAATGAACTCATTCAGCAGTGCATTGATTATTTGAAGGGGGAGGGAAACGAAAAAAGAAAAAAAAAAAGAAAAAGAAGTTGCTCCACTTAAGAAAACAGCATACAAA